CCGTGGTTTAAAACTAGAAATTTATAAAAAAGGTTTATGAATAAACGAATAAATGGTTGATTAAATGAATTAAAGTTTGAATGAATGAATGAATGAATGAATGAAAGAATGAATGAATGAATGATTGAAATGATTCAGAGGAATAGTGAATGAGTGATTTATTGAAAAAAATTCAACACAATTCTTAAAATGAAAATGTTGTTTTGATAAGAAATCAATAAATAGATAGGATGATTTATTTAAATAAATTTACTGAAAGATAAATGGATGAATGAACATATAAAATAAACTAATTACTAAACTAAACGAATGAATAAATGAATGAATGAAAAAATGAATAAACAAATGAACATAAGTATATTTTAAAATAATTACTAAATAATATAACTAATTCTATTTATATTAAAAATTAAATTAATTAAAATTAATAAAATAAATAGAATTAATTTTTTTAACATATAAAAGTGAAATTTCTGAGAAAAATTAGAAAAAAAAATACATTAGATATCTATTTGACATAATTTTTAAAGTTATTTTATTATCCAATTTAATATTTTTCAAAATCAAATTAATTACAATTAGTGATCAATACATTGATTAAAAATTTAAAATAAATAAAATTTAATTAATTTTAAAATTATTTAAATTTTCAAAAAAATGAAAGAGAAAAACAAAAAAGTAACAAAACTAACGTAATGAGTCTTGGTAATATTTTTCAAAAAATAATATTTAAAAAAAATTTAAATCGCGATTAATGAAAATTTTAGGCGATTTTTGGCGAAAATTATTAAGTTTTTAATACCTTTTGTTTGTTTATTGATTGTTTAAAAGTTAATCTACATTGAAACTCAGGTAGAATGTGAAGCTCTAATTAAAGACAATTACGAATATTTTCAAAATACAACGTAATTAATATACAACTAAATTTATAATTCACCTTGTCAAATAATTAAAGCTATTATATACAAATTTGCTGGTTTAATTGGTTTATTTATTAAAAAACCGATTAAAACGAACCGTGTTTGATTTTTGATAAATAATAACATTACAAATTTGGTGATGCCTTTTCAAAATAAACGAACTTTTGTGGATATGATATTAAACTTTATAATGATTAATAGGGTATTCGTAATTAAATCTTTTCTCGTTCTCACTGTGTTCATGGTAATATTAAATAGTTTCTTAGCATTTTATTTCTACTTACCCACTCTTTTGAAGTCCTTCTCAGATGAATGTCTCACTCAACTTTTGGACGAAAATCTGGTGCATTGGTATGAATTTGAAATTGAAAACCTCTCGAATAAATACGGTTTGCTAAATCAGACGGCTTTCAATAATAAAGTGCTACTAATAAACGAAAGCATGATAAACAAAGATTACATGATATCTAGCTTTGTTTGCGGCTCCATCAATCAGACACCCTTCCTGCCAAAATTAACAATTCCTGAGTTTGAAACACTGCGGGAGTTACTCAAATTTTTCAACAGCATGACCGCCAAAGCCGGAATCGACTATTTCCTAATTCAGGATAGTTTGTTGGGATTCGTCAGACACAGAAGTCACATGATTCCGTGGGACGATGACGTAGATGTTGCCATTGATATCAAAGGAATGAAAAAATTTGAATCGGTTTTTTATTATTTTAAATTCAAGAAAAGTTTCGAAATTCAGGTAAATTTAAATGGGATGAACATCACAATCGAACCGTCGTTAGTTAAATATTTTGGCAGGTGGATACTTTGCAACGGACTAAATCAGCGGATCAAAAACTGGAAATGGTCTTTTCCATTTATAAACATCTTTTTTTATGACGTAGACGAAAAACTGGTCACAATGAAACAAGATTTAGAGGCGCTAAAATGGCCCGCTAACAAAATATTTCTTTTACAAGCTGGTCTCTTCATGGGTATACCGGTAAACGTTCCTCTAAAACCGACTTTCTTTGTCGGTGATTATATCGATACGTGCTTGTCGAGTCGGATACTAAATCGGTATAAAGTAAAAATTCGCGTGGCATCGCTTCCTTGCAACAATTTAACACATCTCTACGAGGAGTTTTTTACCGTTTAATTGATTTTCTAAAAATATATTTAGTTGGATTGAAAATAAAATAAACAATATTAAGTTTTACGCATATATACATGTGTGTGTGTGTGTATGTGTATGTATGTATGTGTGTGTGAGTGTTTGTATATATGTGTGAGTGTTAATGTGAATAATATATATATATTATATATATACAAATAAATGAATTTGAAAATATATATATTTCATTTAGATTATATTTCAATATTGTTGATGAACTTGCTAATGCAGACTAACATAATTATGTTCTACACACATACGCACACACACACACACACACACACACACACACACACACGCACACACACACACATTATATATACACATATGTATTTTAAAATGAAAAAACTTTACCCTAAAGAGAAACAGAATGTACGAGTTGTTTCTATTTGTTAATAAGATTTCAATAAGTCTTACGTTACATTATTTTACTGCAATACACCCAAAAATTTAATGTCGTTATTGTTATTATTATTATTAACATTAATAATAATATTATTATTATAATTATTATTATTAATGTTATTGTAGCTTCTATAACAATAATGCGTTTTAATGTCTGTAATGTTATCATTGATCTTATTGTATTAATTGCTCTAAAAATTTGTGACGACAAATGTTTTACACATATATATATACTGTACAGGTTCTGGTCGTTGCTAGCTTTTAAAATCAAGTACCATGAGGCTTAAAGTATATTGGTTCATTTATTTATTTATTTTCTTTATTTAGTTATCAGTTTGTTTGAGGATTTTAAAAATGATTAAAAAAATATAAAAAGAAAAAAAAGATTCATCTGATTGATAAAATAAATTGTATTTACGACCGAGTTTCCAAAAATAGAAAAAAATATAAAATTCGTCTCTCGTAATTGGTTAGGAACATTTTTAGACTGAAAATGACGTCGTATCTTTACATTGACACAACCATACAGTTGTATTGTTGTGTCTAAGTGAAAATATGACACAACTAACCAAACACACATACAAACAAACACATTCACACACTCTTCTCATTGCCGAAAGTTGCAAAATGTAAGTCTCTTGAAAGCCCTTCTAAAGTTATCATCCCAGATGGCGTAGATGATGGGGTTCATCATGGAGTTGAAGTAGCCGAGCCACAATGCCAAACTGGACACAACCTGTGGCACTCTACAGATATCAGGGCAGAATGGGGTGATAGTTGCCAGGACGAAAAATGGCAACCAGCAAATCAAAAAGCCCCCGATTATTAACCCAAGAGTGCGCGCCGATTTCCGCATTCGTCTCGACTGCCGAATTCGAATCAAATCGCTGGTGGTAGCTGCAGCCGCTGCAGATTTCATCATTAGTTTGCTTGGCGGTTTCGCGTGGTGACATCGCGATCCGATACTAGATGAATTCGCTTCGGCCGAGACGGGCATCATTGTGGAGGAAGGCGAAAATCTTTCGTCGTCGTAAGATGGCAGGACAAGAGATGTCGTTAGTGTGGTCGTAATTAGGTCGTCAGATAATTCTGACTGCAAGCGACTGCTTACCGGTAGATTAGAATCTAAGTTACTTATTGCTGGATTAGAACCTAGGTTGTTTACAGATTGTGAGGTGGCCAGTTTTTCATCCGCTGTATCTGTCCTGTCGGTTATGGTGTTGTTGTTGATGTTGTTGTCCTTTGTGCTGTTGTTGTTGTTGTTGCTGCTGTTGTTGTTGTTGGTGTTGTTACGATTCGATAATATAGGATCTTTGAGCAATGCGTTGATGTTATTATTATTATTATTATTGTTGTTATTATTATTATTAATGTCGTTTCTGCAAGTTTCATAATCGTTGTTCACATTCATTTCATTGATGTCAGTTACATTTATTTGGTTGTTGATGTTTTTAATGTTGTCCTTGTTGTCGTTGTTGTTGCTGTTGGTGTTGCTGCTGTTGTTGTTGTCATCCATTTCATTAATCTGGTGATTATTATTCAAGTCATCAACCCTACTGGAAGTGATTAAGATGTTGTCGGTGCTGTTTGCTTTGTCGACAATGATGTCATTGTTGTTGATGTTGTTGATGACGTTGTTGTTGTTGTTGTTAATGTTGTTGATGACGTTGTTGTTATTTTCAATGTTGTTGTTGTTGTTGTTTACGTTTAAGTTGTCATTTTCTATGCTGATGTTTATAATGATATCGTTAACTTCGTTGCTAAAACCGTTTGTCATATAGTCGTGGCTGTTGTTGTCGTTGATGTTGTTGCTGCTGCTGCTGGCGTTGTTGTAGTAAAAGTTATTGCCGCCATTTTTAACATGACATTCTTTAAGGACTTTTGAGGGAGAAGATTTTTTAGAAATTAATGATCCCGTAACTTTGTATATATCCTTCGTGAGATCGATCCCACACGGATTACTGTTGTATCGCGATTGAGACCATTGCAACTGTTTTCGAGATTCGATTCTAAGCGAACCGATACTAAACCGCCGAGTCGATTTAATAGTCGGATTTGACTTAAATTCGCTAGGCAGAAGTGTGTTAGTCGTTTGTGCTTCTTTTGTTGTCGTTATGTTGTTGCTTTTCGGAGATTTTTCGTTGTTGTTAGATGTTGTTGTTGTTGTTGATGCAATTGTTTTTGTCGGTAACGTTATAATGAAATCCGTTAGTAGCTTGGTTGTTGTTTCTTGTGGCTGTTGTGGCTTACAATCTGACTGCGGCGTTTGTTGATGTTGTGGTTGTAGTCGTTGTGGTGATTGACAATGTTGAGAACAACGACGTTGTTGTTGTTGTTGGCGATGACAGTGTTGTTGTTTCTGAAAGTTTGCCTTCAGTTTATTGTTGTTGCTATTGTCGCTGTTGTTGACCATGGGAGCCATGAGTAACCGTCTGCTTGGTACTATGCACACTTGTCTGTGTGTTTGTGCGTGTATGTGTGTGTGTGTGTGAACGTATGTGTGAGAGAGAAAAATAATGTCTGTGTGTGAACGTGTGTGTGTGTGAGAGAGAGAGAAAGAAAAAATGATGTGTGTGTGTGTGTGTGTGCGTGCGTGTGAACGTGTGTACGTACTAATTTAAAATTGTATAATATCTGAATGATAATGCGAAAATCAATGAAGTAATAATAATAAATAATCCTCCATAAAAACTTCCTAACAGAGCCAACAGCTACTACAACAACGACGAAATAATAAAATAATAATAATAATAATAACGATGAGAACAGTGAAATAGCATAGGGAATAATAATAATAATAATAAATAACAACAAGATAATTACTAACGTTGAAGATAAAAAGAAGAATAATAACAAAATATATTAACAGAAAAAAACTGTTAAATTAAAAAGCAGGTGCAAAATTAAATTACCTCAAACGACGACTTCCTTCATTCTCGTCGTCTTCATCGCCACAGGTACCCTCATTACCGGCTCTCTTGGCCATCCCTAGAACATCTCCAGTCGAATCATCGTACGTTTCAGTCTCGACGAATACGACCGGTCCGAATCTGCCGTTACCGCAAGTACAGCCCATCTCTTCCTCGTTTGCCGATGGACTGGTTTTGACGCGGTAGCTACTCGAGAAATCGTCATCGTTGTAGTAGCAATCGTCAAAGTCGTCTCGCGAAAAACTGCTGTCCTCTGGCGAATATTTTCGTCTGACGTTTAGACGTTTCTGTTCCTGATGTCGTCTGTGCAAACGCAGCAGTCGAGTGGCCGCCAGTGTCACGCTGAAAAAACTTTTCTTCGAGTGCGGCTTCTTGATGGAACTGGTCGGTGAGACATCAGGGATGGGCGCGTTGGACGTTGTGAAAACTCGATTCTCATCCGAAGACGTTCCTCCCGATGATCGTTTCCTTACCTCCAAGTAACCGGTCGATTCGGGCTTTGAGCTTTTTCTATTTGTAAACATTTTTGTTGGCGTCATCGTGCTGGTTGGATTATTCGGCACGCTGATTTTGCGAAAAGTATTCGCCAGTCCATTCTCGCTGAGTAGGAAACTACTCCTGGCTTCAGTCAGCATGCAGTTGCCTGTGCTGTTTCGAACGCTCATTCTCGTCACGTTCAGTATTGAAGATCTTAAAACTCGCGGCTGTTTCACTCTCCTACGAACTGCTCTCTTCCTGGCGACTCTAAAAACTCTAAAGTACACTGCCAGAATGACAAACAGGGGCAGCCAGAAAGCCCCGACCGTAGAGAAAAGTGTGTAGGCGTAATCCTGACTGAGCAGACATTGGGTGGGATCGTCCCGCTCCGTGCCGGACCTCCAGCCGAGAAGGGGGGAGCATGAGATGAGGAGGGCGGATGACCAGGCGGATGTGATGAGCAGGATGCAGATGCGTTTGCGAGGCCAACGATCTGAATGCGTGTATCTGTCGTGTGTGTCGTTGTGTGTGTGCGCATGTGCGTGAGTATATCTATTGTGTGTGTGTTGGTGTGTTTGCGTAGGTAGCTGTGTGCTTAATGAGTTATTTTTTATTAGTGTGCCACATGCCGGCGAGTTTATTTTGCTTTTCTTTTACTTTTGAAATTTTTGAAAAAAAAATTATAATAATTATAAATTATTATTATAAACAAATTTACGAGCCACAGCAACTACAACAACATCAACAACAACAGCAACAACTACAACAACAGCAACAACAACATCAACAACATCAACAACAACAGCAACAACAACATCAACAACCACAGCAACAACAACAACAACAACAACAACATCAACAACAACAACATCAACAACAACAACAGCAACAACAACAGCAACAACAACAACAGCAATAACAGGGCATACTTGACGTTCCTGGTGATGAGCCAATATCGATCTAGAGCTATAGCGGCTATGTTCAATATAGAAGCACTGCAGCACAACACATCGGCTGTCAGCCAAAACTCACAAACACCCCACCCCAGTGTCCACAAACCTTTATTATAATATCATAATTACGTCATAATTACGACATAATTATTATAATTATAGTAATGTAAGTAGTAATAGTAGTTTTAGTAGTAGTAGTAGTAGTAATAGTAGTAGTAGTAGTAGTAGTAGTAGAGGCAGCAGTAGTAGTAGTAGTAGTAGTAGTAGTAGAGGCAGCAGTAGAAGTAGTAGTAGTAGTAGTAGTAGTGGTAGTAGTAGTAGTGGTGGTAGTAGTAGTACTGGTAGTATTAGGGATAGAAGTAGTAGTTGTAGTAGTAGTAGTAGAAGTAGTAGTAGTTGTAGTAGCAGTAGTGGCACAAAACATTTGCCGTCAGCCGAAAATCACATTTCCCATCCGACCGTCAACAAACTTTAATTAAAATGTGTACAAAAAAAATTATATTGTGAACAATAAAAATATTATTATTATTTATAATAATTTTAGTAATAATAGTAAGCGAATGAATAAAGGAATGAAAGAACGAGTTAACGGAAATATAAACAAACAACTGAGTGAACGCACGAACAAACGAATGGATCAAATAACAGTGGAAGAATAAACGAACAAGCTGACGAAAGAATGAATGAACGAAGAATAAATAAACAAAAATTGATGAATAAATGAATGAATGAATGAATGAATGAATGAACGAACGAACGAACGAACGAAAGAACGAACAAACGAACGAATGAACGAATTAACAAAAGAACGATTGAAATGGCCAACAAAGCATGAATGAATGATTGATTCATTCATCGATTGATAACTCAAATATTTATTTTATTTTAAATGTGATTGTCGTCATTCATTTTTTTATTTCATTCGTTCACTCAATCGTTCATTCGTTCGTTCGTTCGTTCATATATTCGTCTGTTTGTTCTCCGAGTCCTTTGAAAACTTATGACATTGAAATTACTTCAGAAAACATTCCTAAATGAGATTTCAAATTTTTGAGAACACTTCCGTGAACTATTTTGAAAAATAAAAACTCTTTAAACCATCTTAAAAAAGCTGAATAACCGATCAAACGACCAATCAGCAAACAAACCCGCTAAACCAACCAATCATAAACAAATTCACCAACCAGCCAACCATTGAGAAACAAACTCCTCAACCAGCCAGCCAATCAAAAACTAACTCTTCAACCAACCAACCAGCCAATCAGAAACAAACTCCTCAACCAGCCAACCAATGAGAAACAAACTCACCAACCAACCAGCCAACCAGAAAAAAAACTCACCTCCGGTAAGCTCTCGATGCAAGCTAATGGGCATGACAGCTAGGGCAACGAGGAAGTCTGCAGTTGCCAAGGAGACGATCAACCCGTTGGACAGGGTTCGCATTTTTTCGTACAAACAGACGGAAAGAATGACGTAAGCATTTCCGATGACGACAGAAAAAATAAATATCGTCAAGACGACGCATAATACGACGTCAAAAGCGCTTAGTTCTGTGATTTGTTGATGTTGTTGTTGTGTGCTGTTGTTGTTGTTGTTGTTGGTGGTGCTGTTGTTGTTTGAGATGTTTATGAATGAGATGTTTATATTGTTAATGTTGTAGCTGTTGTTGTTGTATCTGTTGTTTTTGTTGTTATTGTTGTTGTTGCTGCTGTTGTTGCTGCTGCTGTTGTTGTTGTTGTAATAGTAGTTTGTGCTTGGGATGCTAATGTTATGTGAAGTGTTGATGTTGTTGTTGAAGATGCCATTGAACGTTTCGTTACCAATCCTACTGCTATCAAGAATGTTGTTGTAACTGTTGTTGTAACTGCTGTTGTTGCTGCTTTTGCGGTTGTAGTGGTAGTTGTCGAAGTTATAGTAGTCGTCATTGTGGTTGCGGTAGTAGTCGTTGTGGCTGTGGTAGTAGTAGTAGTGGTAGTTGTTGTGTATATTTTTATAGATGTTTTTGTTGGGTTTGTCGTTGATGAAGTACTTCTTGTTGTTTTTGTTTTTGTTTCTTAAAAAGCGTTGTAAAAAGCTTCGCATGAATGATGGCGTTAAAAAAGTGAATTTGTGTTCAGATGCTATGAGGCGTTGTTGTTGTTGGGATGAGGATGTTGTAGTTGTAACTACTGTTGTCGGTGCCGCTAAAACCGTTGTCGTTGTTTTGGTTGGATGTTGTAAAAATGTTGCGGTTGTTGTTGTTGTTGGAAAAAGGGATGACGACGATGTTGAAATAGTTGGAATTGATAAATAAAAAGGTATTGTCCTGTGGAAAAAAGCTGTTGTTGATGTTGTTGCTGTTGCCGCTGTTGCCGCTGCCGATGTTGTTGTTGTTCGGTTCGTGAAAATTATGAACGACAAAACCGCGGTTATGTTGTTGTTCATTTGTTGTTTGTGCTGTTTAATTCATCTTCATTTGTGTGTTTCTTCTTCTTCTTTTTATTGTTGTTATGGTTTTTGTTGTTGTTGTGTGTGTGCGTGCGTGTGTGCGAGTGTTTGGTAGAACTAAGAGATGCACACGGTGCAAAGAAATAAAAACAGGTACCTAGATATAAAAACGATGATTGAATTTTTATCTATGGATCTTCGGGTGATAATACGATATTTTTAATGTTGATACTGAACGATAATGTAGTGGCTATAGACGCAACAGACCTCTGATGGAAGATTCTTAGTTTCTTTGTTCTTGGTTAATTGCTTTTATTCAAATTTTTCATCATAAAATCTTTTTATGAATAATATTTGTTTGATATTTTATATTGACATCCTCAAAAATGGTACGAGCGATAATAAGAAATCATAAAAAAACACTTACTAGAAGAAAAAAAAGGTCTCCAACCACGAAAAAGGTATATCGTGCAAAGATATAATAACGCGTTGACGTCATAAATATAGACAGGCTAGTGATGAGGTAATTGTACGTCGCGCGGGAACCCATCTTAAAAGAATCTTCGATAATAGAGTATAAACACGTTCGTGGCACGAATTCGGTAAACATTACACCAACGAAACATAAACAAGAAAACATAGAAATAATAACATAGATGGGTGGGCATAGAGTTTTTTGTATTCGCTAAACAGAAATACATCCAGTGCATTCATAGTATAGCCATATTGTGAGCATTGAAAAGTTGGTTACTCAATATGGGTGAATGATAGAATGAATGATTGAATAAAAAATAAACGAACGAACAAACAAACGAACGAACAAACAAACGAACGAACAAACAAACGAACGAACAAATAAATGAATGAATGAATGAATGAATGAATGAATGAATGAATGAATGAATGAATGAATGAATGAATGAATGAATGAATGAATGAATGAATGAATGAATGAATGAATGAATGAATGAATGAATGAATGAATGAATGAATGAATGAATGAATGAATGAATGAATGAATGAATGAATGAATGAATGAATGAATGAATGAATGAATGAATGAATGAATGGAAAATTATTAATCAAATAAATGAACGAACAGACGAATTAACGAACAAACGATTGAATGAACGCTTCGACGGATGGACGGGTGGAAAGATGGTTGACAGAGGAGCGAAAAAACGAATGAAAAAACGAATAAATGCCTGGTATAAAAATCTAGTTAACTCCATCCATATATAAACCATCAATGTTTGCTAAGCGTTACATCCTGAAAGATAAAACAACAAACAACAACACCACCAACAACAATGACACTACTCCCACTACCAACAACACCAACAACAACAACAACAACATCAATATTGTTATTGATGTTGATGTTGTTGTCACATCGATGCTAGCTCAATTGAAACTGAATTTTCAAATCTATAAATAATAATAAAAAAAATAAATAAATAAAAAGAAAATAAAAATAAATAAAAAAAAACTAAGAAAAACATTTACTCGTGTATATAGGGAAACATGAAATGAAGTTTTATGCTTGGATGTGAACGTCTCTTCGTATCATTCTCACAGAAAAAAAGATGTATGTGTGGATGTCTGTATGTACGTATGCACGTACGTACGTATGTGTGTATGTATGTATGTATGTATGTATGTATGTATGTATGTATGTATGTATGTATGTATGTATGTGTGTGTATGTGCGTGTGCGTGTATGTGCGTGCGTGTATGTGTTTTAGGAAAGAAACAGAAAAACATTGTGTCGTGGAAGTGTATTGGAAAATGTAAATCAAGCGTATGATCCTGGTCGGAATTTTATATTGGGAGTTATATATTTTTGACGGCGAGGCTCAACAACGTACGCGCGTCTGTATGTTTGTATGCTGTTTGTATGCCGTTTGTATGCCGTTTGTATGTTTGTTTGTTGTTTGTATGCCGTCTGTATATTTGTATGCCTTTTGTATGTTTGTATGTTTGTTTGTTTGTATGCCTTTTGTATGTTTGTATGTTTGTTTGTATATTTGTATGCCGTCTGTATATTTGTATGCCTTTTGTATGTTTGTATGTTTGTTTGTTTGTATGCCTTTTGTATGTTTGTATGTTTGTTTGTATATTTGTATGCCGTCTGTATATTTGTATGCCTTTTGTATGTTTGTATGTTTGTTTGTTTGTATGCCTTTTGTATGTTTGTATGTTTGTTTGTATATTTGTATGCCGTCTGTATGTTTGTATGTTTGTTTGTTTGTATGCCTTTTGTATGTTTGTATGTTTGTTTGTATATTTGTATGCCGTCTGTATATTTGTATGCCTTTTGTATGTTTGTATGTATGTTTGTTTGTATATTTGTATGCCGTCTGTATGTTTGTATGCCGTTTGTATGTATGTGTGTATATATTTATGTATGTGTGTGTGTGTATGTATGGATAGGTAAATGTGTGGACCTATGTTTGTTTGTGTGTTTATAAGCAGCGAACATACAAACACAGATATCATTAAAAAAATTATTGAAAAAACTTGTATAAACAAACCAGCAAACAAAACGCAAACAAACAAACAAAACACAAACAAACAAAAAACAAACAAACAAAACACAAACAAACAGACAAAACACAAACAGACAAAACACGAACAAAACTCACAAATACAAACGGTAAACAAAAAACAACAGCAAGACTCGTTATACCGCAATATAAATAACGCTGAACAAAGGTATCTCACACAGTTTGAAGCTGGAATAAATTGTTTCACACGCTTCCTATCCTACTTCAATTTAACCATCGAAGATAATTTTTTTTTCAAAATATTTTTCTTCTCTTGAGAACGAAGTTTGTATTTTTATCATACAAAACATAAAAAAATACACTTCAAATACCGTGTCATGAGATACGAAAATACAATGCGTATACAAACAATCGCGAGTATATGTGTGTATATTGTATGTTAGGTAGCCAGTTGGCTCACAATACGCCCCCGTACCTAATTGTATTGCGTGTATCAAGCCTCTAACAAATGCTTATAACGCACTAACAGAATAATAATAATTATTATTATTATTATAATATTAATAATAATAATAAAAGTATTGTTGTTTGTTTTTGTTATTGTTATTGTGGCGAAGTTGACTATGATGAAGATGATGACGACGACGTTGACGACGACGATGATGATCACTTTCTCATTTCAATCTAAGAGTGTAAAGATAAAAAACATTTTTCTTTCTTTCTTTCTTTCTCTGCATTTGTATTCTCTCAATTTCCTCTCTCTCTCACTCTTTCTTTCTCTCTTTCTCTCTATCTCTCTTTCTCTTCCATTCTCATGTTCTCATGTCTCTCTCTCTTTATGTATATCCATCACTTTTTCTCTCTTTCCATTTCTTTTTTACTCTCTCTCTCTCTCTCTCTCTTTCTCTCTCTCTTTCTCTCTCTCTCTCTTTCTCTTTCTCTCTCTGTCTCTCTCTCCCTCGTTTTCAAAACTCTATTAATTTATTTATTATTTTTTTCATTTTCCATTATCTTCCTTCCACATCTTTTGCGTTTACAATTTTTAATGTTGGTTCCATTACATCCACTCAGAAAGCATTTGGATGGATGGATAAGTGTGTGGATGGATGGATGGATGAATGGATGGATGGATGGATGGATGGATGGATGGATGGATGGATGGATGGATAGATGGATGGATGGATAGATGGATGGATGGATGGA